AAAAGAGAGTGTTCTTTTCACTTGAATCTTCAAGAAAGAAAGTCTCAGGATGGGTGAACTTGTATTTATGGAGTCAAATACATGAAATGACAGCTTCTGTCCCACAAGGTTCTAAAGGTCAAGAGTTTTGACCTTAGACTGGGTTTCGACGTAGGCTTAGTCCACTACACAGTTCTATTAACTTTTTAATGTGGGGGTTAAAAGACATGTCCTGATCAAAAACTAACAGGGATTTAGAGGAAAGAGATCTGATGTTCAATAATCCACATTTAATGATTTTATGATTTGCTCTGGTAAAGTAACTGTGTTTATTTTAATCAGATTTTTATGGTTTATATTTTTAGAGCTGATTTTTGGTTTATTTAATTTGAGCCGTGGGCGAGTTGACACTGTTTCAGTGTGGGTATGGGTGGGTAACAGAGGAGAAGCAGCAGAGAGGTATGAAGGACTACAACTCTACTTCCTGGACTGGACCCTGGGTTGTCAATAATTTGGGGGATAAACAAAATCAGACATATTTCTAGAAAGAAGAGCGGCTCCATCCAAAGTGGGATGGATGCCATCTCTCTGCATCAGACCAGGTTTTCCCCAGAAAGAACTCCAGTTATTTATGTAGCCCACGTCGTTGTCAGAACACCACCTGGACACCCAGCGGTTAAACAACAACATACGGCTAAACATGCCATCGCTGGTCAGGTTGGGGAGGAGCTGGTGCTATAAGGAAACAATGGTTCCTAACTAGAACTGAAACTGGTTTTGGGGAAAACCAACTTGGGGAAGTGGGTAGTACTGGTCCAGTCATGTACTGTATGTACATGTTAGTTTTTTTGTAAGTGATGTTTTTTAGATCCGTCAGAAACTGTAGAATCAACGTGATTGTTGGCAGGTGAGTTACTTTTAATCCATCCATCCATCTATTATCTTTACCCGTTTATTCCATTTTGGGTCACGGGGGTCGCTGGTGCCCATGTCCAGCAATCACTGTGCGAGGGGCGGGGTACACCCTGGACGGGTCGCAAGTCCATCACAGGGCCACATAGAGACAAACAACCATTCACTCTCTCACTCACACCTAGGGACAATTTAGAGTTACCAATCAGCCTAACATGCATGTTTTTGGTCTGTGGGAGGAAACCGGAGCACCTGGAGAAAACCCACGCATGCACAGAGAGAACATGCAAACTTCACCCAGAGAGGCCCCTGGACCGGGGTTTGAACCAAGGACCTGCTCGCTGAGAGGCAGCAGCTCTACCAGTTGCTCCACCGTGCTGCCCTACTTTTAATCCATCTGCCTCAATTCAGCTTTTTCAACAGAGAGAGCTATTGTCTCCTGTTCTGCACAGTTTCAAACATGTTTTGCTACCAGAAACTAAAGCTGTCAGTTGGTGACATTACCTTCACAGGTGCAGATTCTGCAGGAGCTCCTGCTGAATCAGTGATGTTGTTTGTCTGCACTGCTGAAGGAACTCTGCAGATTAGAACATTTCTTCTACAGTTCAATCTGCGGATGAGGTTTGAAAATGCATCTAACTCGTCCTCCTGTTTCAGATCAGTGATGTCAGACAGCTGGCTCAGGACACCAAGGATCAGGCCAGAGACATGCAGCAGCAGATCCGCAGCAACACTGGACCTCTGGAGGCAGAGACAAACAAAACCAGGGAGCTGCTCCAGCGAGTCCGACACTACCTGATGGGTCAGTGTTGACACCCACATGATCACAGGATGCAACATTAGTTTGTGTGACTTTTCACTGGACAGCAAACTTTAAGAACTTGTTCAACGAGCTGTTCGTCAAGTTAAATTTATTTATGAAACGCATTTAAAAACAGCAGCTGCTACCAAATTGCTGAACAATAAAATCAATGGCAGTAATTTAAAGAAAAATAATAAAAATTAATTAAAATCAAAAGAAAAACATAAAAACACAAACAATAAAATATTAAATCAAATCACACTATATTAAACGTCAGGTGTGTTTTAAGGAGATTTAAAAGCAATAAGTGAAGTGGTCTGTTTAATGTTGAGGGGCAGATTGTTCGAAGAAACTCCTCTGACCTTCAACCAAAAGCATCTGGTCAGATGATCTCAGCGCCCAAGAAGGAACATAATGTTCAAGTAGGTCAGAGAAGAGGGTGCAAGGTCATTTATGCACTTAAAGGTCAACAGGAGAATCTTGAAATCTATTCTGACATGCACAGGGAGCCAGTGAAGGGAGGACAAAACTGGTGAAATATGATCAAACCTAAGAGTTTCTGTTAAGAGCTGAGCTGCAGCATTTTGGACGAGCTGAAGACGTGAAATGCCCTTTTTGCACTGCTCTTAATAAGCCCCAATTCTGGGCAGCCCGCCACAGAAAGAACCCTTTTGCACCACCACTTTAGCTAGTATTTTTAGCTGATTTGAGGCTGATTCAGGACCTCTTTTCATCCATGCTTCTCTTGAGGGACCGAGCGAGCTCAGCTGAGCTGAGTCCGGACCAAACGTGAATGCAGGACTCTGATTGGTCAGGGGGAGGAGTCACTGGATCTCAGAAACTTTTCACTGAGCCGCCATAAGCCCTTTTCACAATGACGTCAGACAACTTCCTTTTTGACTCGATGCTGTGAATCATTACTTCCGGGTCTATTCTCCCTCGGGAGACCTGTCTGGAAACATCACGGAATTTCATTCATTCAACCTTTATTTACAGAGGTTATATTACAAGATATAGCACAAGGTAAGGTTAATAAAAACAGTATTTATGTGTTTGTTAGCTGTGGAAATGTTATCCATCATTCTAAAAAAGTTAAATCTGGTCCTCTGGACATTCAAAAAAAACCAAAACAAAGCAAAACAACAAAAAATGTAGAAACGTTTCGTCTCTCGTCCGAAAGACTTCTTCAGTCTGAGGTGCTGTTTTCAGCTCAGTCTCTTAAATAGCACCTTCTCAGAGTGGATCAACCAGTTTTGCTGCTGACAACCAAAACCAGCTGATCACATGCTCAAGAAGGACCATCAGCCTAACAATGGATCATTAGCACACTGATGGCTGTTTACTGTTCACAGAGGGCTGAGTGATACTAGCAATCACAGCATTGTAAGAGGGGGACAGTTGAACCCGGAGGCCTCCACCCCTGTTTAACGATGGACGGTTTCTTTTCACAAAGATGGCCTCCTTTACTCCTCTCGCAAACCATCGTTCCTCTCTATCCAGGATGTGAACATCTTCATCCCTGAAAGAGTGACCGCTGGCCTGGAGATGAGTGTAGACCGCAGAGTCCTGGCCTGATGATGTTGATCTTCTGTGCTGGGCCATCCTTTTGGCCAGTGGCTGTTTAGTTTCCCCGATGTAAGACTGATCACAGCCCTCCTGACACTGAACAACATACACAACATTGCTCTGTTTGTGCCGGGGGACTGGATCTTTGGGATGAACCAGTCTTTGCCGTAATGTATTTTGGGGTTTAAAAGCCACTGGGACGTTATGTTTAGAAAATAAACATCTCAGTTTCTCTGATACTTCCTCAACATATGGAATGACCACTGGTCTGGGTCTGGGTTCCTCCTTTTCACCTGTTGGCTGACTGGAGTCCTGTTTGGGTTTCTTCTCTGCTTTTAGGAAGGCCCAGTTAGGATACATTACGTGAATGTAAAATAAAAAATACATGTAAAATACATGTAAAATAAAATACATTACGGCAAAGACTGGTTCATCCCAAAGATGACCCTGAGCTCCGGCCCGTGTGCTCACAATTCGAGCCCTGGCAGGCGGGAGGACCGAGACGGAGGGTAGAAACTTAAAAAACAAAACATTTTATGTATAAAAAATAACGTGTTTTTTTTTTTTTAATCAGTGAAGAAAATAAATAAACCGTGCAGGATTTATCATGAAATCCTGTTTTCACTTTGACTTTATTCAATAATCTGTTAATTAAAGTTAACTAGGCTGAAAAATCATAAAAAGACAAAATTATTGGATCTGTAGATGAACATATATCTGTGATATATTCATAAATTAAACGGATTCTTTCATTTTTCTGGACTGAATAATATTGTGCATTGAATAAATAAATGTAACGTGAGACGTTAATTTTCTTTGACCCATCAAATGAATGCGGTCATTTATTAACAGAATCAAAGTTTAACATCAAACATCCATCCATCCATCCATTTTCTTTACCCGTTTATTCCATTTTGGGTCACGGGGGTCGCTGGTGCCCATGTCCAGCAATCACTGTGCGAGGGGCGGGGTACACCCTGGACGGGTCGCAAGTCCATCACAGGGCCTAACATCAAACATTTACATTAATTTGGCAAATTGATTTCAACAACAACATAATTAATTAGCAAGCTTTACAGTCAGGAAAACCATACGGCCATGATTTCCCTGCTTCACAACAGACATTTCTGAAAATATCTGGAATGATTTACTGGCAAGATAGAAGAGTTTAAAGATGGGGAATGAAGGAGTTCAAATTGAGAGAGAAGATGGATGAGGTGTTGTTATGTTTCGGTATAAGAACGGCACTCTCCATTCGAACCCAGTTTCATCTCGGTACGCTTCAGTAGGAAATCGACTCGTTACCTCTCTGAAGATGAATCAGCTGGTACGGAGTCCCATTTAACGCTACCATTTCCAGCGTCTCCGTAGGATGTCGGGGAAACGTCCGGAGTAGTGACGGTACTTGTTCGACACACGTTCACCTCCCGGGTGGGCTCACATGAGTTGTGAGTCCGTCAGAGTTCCACTCAGATGTGGAAGATTGCATAATTCCCACAAGACTCAGAAGAACTGCGGATCATGTCTGAACCTCCTGTTCTCTCCGGCACTTCTTCTGTTCGGTCCTGCTCTCCGAACTGAACTGCTCTCCCACCGCACTCGACTGTTGGAACTAGGAAGTGCCGACATTTAAAGAGTTCTATTTCCGGTTCATCTGGGAAGTCCTGATTGGCTGAAATAGCTAATCAGGGGTGCGTTTTTGTGACGTAAGAGGTCACTAGAAGTCAGAAAAACAGAAAAATTGTTTTGGAACGGACAGAAGATGTTTTTGAGACAGACGAGAGAAATGTTTAGGCGAGTTGGGGGAAAACAGGTGCCAGCTTCTCTATTTACGTCTGAGAGGATTTAAAAACATGACAGTTCGTTCCAACAACTTGTTTGCGCTTGCCTCCAACCTTGGACCAACTTACACTTGCTCATTTCAGACAGAAGATCAAGAAAAATGAATAATTACTCTGTAACAGACCTTAACTTGATTTCTACTTTGAATGAGGATTAAAAAATCATTAATACTGTTTCACAGTTGATTTAAAATGAGTAGTTCACTTCAACATTTAAAATGGTTTGAACTAACACACTTTGATTATCAAGACATTTGTAAGATAGTAATGATAATAGAAAAAGAGAGTGTTCTTTCAATTGATCAGTGCAGGACACTTAGAAAGTCTCTGGATGGACTTGATTTTGTGTTTCTGGACTCAAATCACTGAAATACAGTTCTTGTCCCAGGAAGGCCCTCAAGGTCAGGATTTGACCTGAGGCTTAGTTCACTACAGATCTCTCGGGAATATTTCCCTGAAACATGTTTAAAGTAGAAATACAGCCTTTAGTTCAACTTTATTCTAAACCACAGATGTACAAATCAAAATACAACAATTCAACTTTAAAGCAGAGCTAAAATAAAAAAAAAATATATGCAAGAAACAAAACCACACATCTAAATTGAACAATAAAAGTAGGCACAATGAGTGCAAATACATCAAATGATGAAGAAAAATATAAAATTTTAAATATAAATGTTTATGTAGAATCTGGTTCATCAGATTTAATTCAGTTTATTTATAAAGCGCCAAGTCACAACAGAAGTCATCTCAGGGTACTGAACAGAAATATTCATATTTAAAAATAATAATTTAACATTATTTATCTGAGGAGCAGACTGCTTTGAGTTTGAAGGTGAAGCGTTTCAGCAATAAAAGAAACTGTCCATTTGACCTGACTAAAAATTGTTGGATTGTATACCTGAATTATTGAGCATGGGCTTTTTTGGTCATCGCAGAACTCTCACTCGGTGAACTAAAGTTCATTAAAAGTTCATTAGCAGGATTTTGGATTCTGGACTCGCCTCTAGAATCTGTCCTGAAGTACGGTGGAAATCAGACTGATCTGAGCTGAGCAGAGTTGGGCTGAGTAACAGTGGAAAAGGGGCATTACTTTTTTTCTGATGCTGAAACTTAAAAAAATTGGAAACCATCCATGCCTTAATGTCATCAAGACATTTTAACAGAAAGTGAATGGAACAAGAACTATTCAAAAAAGTTCAATCTGGTCCTCTGGACATTCAAAAAAAACAAAATACAAAACAAAGGAAAAAAATGTAAATATGTTTTGTCTCTCATCCGAAAGACTTCCTCAGTCCGAGGTGCTGTGTTCAGCTCAGTCTCTTAAATAGCACCTTCTCAGAGTGGATCAACCAGTTTGCTGCTGACAACAAAAACCAGCTGCTCACATGGTCAAGAAGGACCATCAGTCCAACAATGGATCATTAGCACACTGATGGCTGTTTACTATTCACAGAGGGCTGAGTGATACTAGCAATCACAGCATTGTAAGAGGGGGACAGTTGAACCCGGAGGCCTCCACCCCTGTTTAACGATGGACGATTTATTTTCACAAAGATGGCCTCCTTTACTCCTCTCTCAAACCATCGTTCCTCTCTGTCCAGGATGTGAACATCTTCATCCCTGAAAGAGTGACCGCTGGCCTGGAGATGAGTGTAGACCGCAGAATCCTGGCCTGATGATGTTGATCTTCTGTGCTGGGCCATCCTTTTGGCCAGTGGCTGTTTAGTTTCCCCGATGTAAGACTGATCACAGCCCTCCTGACACTGAACAGCATACACAATATTACTCTGTGCTGGGGGACTGGATGAACCAGTCTTTGCCGTAATGTATTTTGGGGTTTAAAAGCCACTGAGGTGTTGTGTTTAGAAAATCTCAGTATCTCTGATACTCCCGCAACATACGGAATGGCCACTGGTCTGGGTCTGGGTTCCTCCTTTTCACCTGATAGCTGACTGGAGTCCTGTTTGGGTTTCTTCTCTGCTTTCAAGAAGGCCCAGTTAGGATATCCACATTGCTCTAGAGCCTGTCTTGTGTAGGATTTCTCCTTCTGCCTGGCTCCTGAGCTAGTGGGGACGCTGTCTGCTCTGTGATACAGAGTCCTGATGACTCCTAACTTGTGCTCCAAAGGGTGATGGGAGTCAAACTGCAAATACTGGTCTGTGTGGGTGGGTTTGCGGTACACCTCGGTTTGCAAATGTCCTCTATCAGAGACTGAGACCTCACAGTCCAAGAAAGCCAACCTGCCATTTTTTACATCTTCTCGTGTGAACTTGATGTATTTATCCACAGAGTTGATGTGGTCAGTAAAATGTTGGACTTCCTGAGATTTAATTTTAACCCAGGTGTCGTCAACATACCTGAACCAATGACTTGGTGGTGTCCCTGAAAAGGACGTCAAGGCTCTCTTTTCTACCTCCTCCATGTACAGGTTGGCAACAATAGGAGAAACTGGAGACCCCATAGCACACCCATGTTTCTGCCTATAATATTGCTCCCCATATGTGAAGTAGGTTGACTGCAGGCACAGTTTCAAGAGTTGACACAGTTGTTCTGTGGAAAGCGTGGTCCTGCTGCTCAGAGTGGTGTCTGATTTTAATCTTAAACTGACCACCTCTACTGCATCATCAACAGGATTGCACGTAAAGAGTGATGTGACATCAAAAGAGACCATTGTTTCATCAGTCTCCATGATGACATCCCTCACCTTATCCACAAAGTCCATGGTGTTGACCATGTGATCAGCTGGTTTTGGTTGTCAGCAGCAAACTGGTTGATCCACTCTGAGAAGGTGCTATTTAAGAGAATGAGCTGAATACAGCACCTTAGAATGAGGAAGTCTTTCGGATGAGAGACGAAACGTTTTTACTTTTTTTTTTTTTTTGCTTTGTTTTGTTTTTTGTTTTTTTTGAATGTCCAGAGGACCAGATTGAACTTTTTTGGATTTTTCTACCTGGATTATTGAGCATGTATCAGTTTAACAAGAACTATTGCATTTTAAGGGCAGATAAATCTGACAATCATCAGAATAACAGTGAAAAGAAAAACCATGTGTTCTCAGGATGGACCCCAAAGGGAGCAGATAGAGTGAAAACAGAAGGGGTCCATCTGTGTTTTACACAAAACATAGATGAGGAGATGAACATGGGATTTTCAGTAAATCATATATTTACACCTGTAACAAAAAGGTTTACATGAAGCTTTATTTGACTATGTTAGCCTGGTGCAGAGGAGGCTAACACGCAAGTTTAGTTAATCCAGCCTAGGGTAAGAGCCAGGTTAAGGTAATGCAGACCAGCCAACAGTCATGTTTGGGTAATCCCAGTAGATTAACAGCCAATTTTTATTAATCCAAAACAGGCTAAACCTGGCTAGCTCCCATACTTAATTAATCCAGACCAGGCTAACAAGTTCAGTTACACCAAACCAAGTTCATAGTTAGGTGTATTTATTTAACAATCTGGTTTAGTTAATCCAGACCAGGCAAAACATTAAATATCTTTAACTTCACTCAGCAGATCTGAGTGTGAACACGTAGCAGTAGATCAAAATGATCCCACTTTTTCATCACAAACAGCTCGTTCAGGGACGTTGCTAATATCGGCCCCCTATGTTTGTCACTTCGGCTGTTTTGTAGGTAAATGGACACGTGGTAGCTGATAAATGTTGACAAATATTTCTTACGGTTTTTAATAATAATAACAATAACCATCATTATGAGAAATATATTAAATAAATCAGTCTTTGTGTCCTTGTATTGAGTTCTTTTAAATGAACAAAAGTTCTGACTTTGTTCATTTCTGTTACAAAGATAACTGACCTACGTAGGTAGTCATCCAGAGCCTTAGTGTTTGCGAAACCAATAAAAGCAGAATGTCCTGATAAGATTTGATCAAAACTGGCTTTCTCTTCTTATACTGAATTAGTGATTTTTATTTATTTTTTTTGTAAAAATTGGTCCTCTGAAGAGAATAAATGACCAATCAGTGGAATAACAGGAAAGAAAACACATAATTTCCAGAAGTTTTGTTTCTCTGACTTTTTTTAAATGTTCCAAAGTGATACTTCTGGCTGCAGGAAACATATTTTATTATACATATTTCATCTTGCTTCCTTCCTGACAGATGAAATGGTTCCTACAGAAGACATTGAGAAAATGGCAAAAGCTGTTCTGAGCATCCAGTTACTGCGGTCGCCTGCTGAGGTCCGATCAACGATCAACAACACCACCAGAGTCCAGGATGATGTGAAGAATCTGGAGGAGGAAGCCAGGACTGTCCAGGAGCTGCTGCAGCGAGCTCAACAACTCAAGTTGGTGTCTAAAATCATAAACTGACTGAGCAACATTTCACTAAAAACAGAACAATTACCTGTAAACAATTTATCAGACAGAAGAAACACTTTCTAGTTTAAATATATTTTGTTTCTGATGAGTTCAATGCTCTGTGACAGTTTTCATTTGGTCTTTCCTTTGAAAAGATCAAGTGTGCATGAAATGCATATATGCTTTCACATAAAATCAATAAAATGTATTTCAGAACGACTGCTGTGGACCAAAGTGTTGCACACCAAACAATAAACAGTAAAAAAAAATAATACTGAGCACATTAGATGATAAGAAAAAGAAAACGTTGGTTACGTACTGTAACCCCAGATTCTATGAGTATAGGTGTAGCCCTTTAAGAGCTGTCGCTTAGTGGGTTTTATCCCGTCATGCAAAGCATCGCACTGAAAAGTTTAGTCCATGCCCACCTGTTGTGTGGGCCCCACCCAGTCCGTATAAATTACGTTAAGAGCGGGTAATCGGCTCCCAAATAGCTTTTTCTTCAGCCGTTTAGGAGCCAGTGAGGCCCGACGCTTAAAGGGCTACGCCTATACTCATAGAATCTGGGGTTACAGTACATAACCAACGTTCTATTTCGTATAGGCTTCGCCCTTTAAGAGCTGTCGCTTAGTGGGTTAAGGGCGAAGCAGATGTGGTCCTCCCCTCACTGGGTCCATTCGAACACCATACAAAGCGGCAGCTTGCCCAAAAATGTCTTGTCACTCAGCTCTCCATGTGCGATGCGTACCATACACAGACGCATGCTGTGTAGTTATGCATTCTGAGTGCATGAACGCCCCGGAAAGCTTTCAGCGGGGAAGGAAGACGCTGAAAAAGGGCCATGAACCAACAGATTCACGGCTGATCAATATGAACAGATTAAAAATAACAAGTGAACTCATTATTAATCAAATGAACTGATTGGTAACAATAGTCATGAAGTGATTAGTGACAACAGAACCAGAAAAACAGTCACAACCTGTGACTGATAACAACATCTCACACTATAAATGCATGCAGTCAGATGTAAGTTTAAGTGAGGTTCCATGAAACAACAATATTCATTCTGTTAAAACACTAAGGACAGAATGTGTCATGGAACGAGCCGCCACATCACGTAGATAAAACGAATAAATGAGCAGGGTGTTGACCACGCGGCCGCAGTGTAAATATCCTGCATTGTCATACCATTATGCAAAGCAGTCGAAGATGCGATACCTCTAGTCAAGTGTTCCCTGAGGTTGTCAGGAGGCTCTAACTCTGATGCTCTGTAGGCTTCAGAAATGGCCTCACACAGCCAGTGTGACAGGTGTTGGGTGGATAACGGGCGACCTGCAGATGCATCTCTATAATGCACAAACAAATGTTGAGTTTGACGCATTGCGGCTGTGTGCGCTATGTAACACGTCAACACCCGCACAGGACAGAGAAGATGGAAAGATGCTTCTTCTTCTGATTTGTGGGGGGGAGGGAAAAAATCCTCCAACGATATCACTCTTGATTTAAAAGAGCTCGTGATGTTTTTAGGCATAAAGGCTGGATTAGACCTCAGATCAGCTGAACTGCCATCAGCCTGAATTCTGAGACATGACGGAGCGACAGAGAAGGCAGATAAATCACTCACCCTCTTAGCAGATGTTAAAGCCAGCAGCAGGGCTGTTTTAAGAGACGAGAATTTAATCAGAACCTGATTCAGTGGCTCAAATGGAGCTTTGATTAGGGCCTGCAGGACCAGCGTTAAATCCCACAGTGGAGCAAGTGGGCGTGAAACAGGCCTGCGTCTCTGTACACCTTTAAAAAAACGCTTCATCAGCGGATGATTAAAAGCTGTTCTGTCCCCGAAACTTTGTGACAGTAAGCGATGGCTGCAGAGTACGTTTTAATCGTGCTGAACGCCAGATTTCTGTCCATCAGCTGCTGCAGAAAGGACAGCATGCCACCTAGTGGACATGAGGTGGCCTCTACACTTTTCTCTGTACACCAGCGCTGAAAAACTGTCCACTTTGATGTGTACAGCGCTGTGGTGGATGCAGCACATGAATCCTGGATTGTGCGCACTACATCTTGCGGGAGACCCATCCTCTCTAAGTGGATCCGCTCAGCGGCCAGACCCACAGGTGCTGGCCTATTTCTGGGTAACTCCTGATCGCTCCTCCCACCTGGAGGAGAGCGTCCTCCCTCCACGGCAGTTTCCACGAGCGCCCCGATAACATGTGTCGTAGAACCAGGAACCATGGCGCGTTCACGCGCTCGGGAGCCACCAGGAGAGCTGTCAATCCCTCCTCAACTTGGTTCAGAAATCATAATATCAGAGGAGATGGGGGAATGCGTAAAGAAGCGTTTTGGGCCATGGGCTGTGAGCAAACGCATCCACCCCCAGCGGTGGTTCGTCTCGCGGGCTCAGTGAAAACCATAGTTGACACTGAGTGTTTTCTCGTGTCGCAAACAGATCCACAGCCGCTTTGCCAAATTTCTGCCATGTCTGACCCATCAGATCGGGGTGGAGAGTCCAGTCCCTTGACGCAGACCGCCCCTGGACATCACATCTGCCCCTTTGTTCAGAACACCAGGGATGTACACTGCTCTGATGGAGAGCAGATTTTGGTGTGCCCAACACAGTAGTTTTCTCGCAATGTGTAACATTTGGGCTAAGCGCACACCCCCTTTCCGGTTTATGTATGCAGCAGTAACCTTGTTGTCTATGTGAATCAAAACATGTTGATTCTGCAGCACAGGAGCAAAGTGTTGAATCACATTCAGAACCATGCGACATTCCAGAACGTTTATATGAGCTGTTGTATGAGGTGGCCACAGCGCCCCTACAGCTCGAGATAGGCATGTCCGCCCCCCCAACCTGACAGCGACGCGTCTGTGAAGACTGACACATGTGACGTAGGTCTGCTGACGGGGACTCCCTCCGACAGAACCAGGGAGTTTTCCCAGTGTCGGAGGTCTGTTCTCACGGAGGGAGGAACAGTGATCATCCATCTCTTTTGCTTTACCGGATCCACACGCAGACGAGCAAACCATCTCTGGAGGCGTCGCATGTGGAGTAAGCCCAGCGGAACCACTGTGTGAGCTGACAACATCGTTCCTAACAGCTTCATGACGGAAATAGCTGTTACTACTCTGCCAGGTCTTACGTGGCGGAGCTGGACTCTTAGAGTGTCGATTCTCGTCTGTAATAAACAAGCCCTCGTGGTGGTCGAGTTTAGCTCCACTCCCAGATAAACAATCGTCTGGGCCGGGAGAATCGAGCTTTTTCCCCAATCTATGGCGAAGCCCAGATTTAGCAGGTGTGACGTCAGCACCTGAGTCTGCGCCGCTGCTTCCCATCTGGAGCGTGACATCACCAACAGGTCATCTAGGTAAAACAAAATTCTCATCCCTGCTCTGTGTAATGGTTGCAGGGCCGTCTCCACACACTTTGAGAACGTACACATCAAAGGCGAAACGTTTCAGCACAAAAAAAGAGACTGTCCAGATGACCTGACTGAAAAATTTTAAAAATATCAACGTTTTTTCTGTATTAAAAGATGGTAAAAAACGAACATGTTTTAAGATGAGACCTAAAAACAGCAAAAGCTAAAACCCATGTGGAATGAAGGGGCGGCTAAAAAGCTGAACTTAATAAGTTTAACTATTTCAGGCCAAGATGTCCGAATTTTTTTCTGAAGTATGCAAAACAAAAAAAAAGTGGTGATTAAATGTAGAGTTAAAGTTTTCACACTGTTCAGTTTCAGACTGTCCAACTGTGTAATTTGAATCTATGTCACCAAGTTGTAGACGAGAATTGAACTAAGTACCGTAATTTCCAAACTACTGAGTGCACCTGAATATACGGGTAAGCTTCAGCCACTAATTTTTTTTTTCAAACTTTTATTTTGATTTTTTTGATTTTTTTAAACACACACACACAAACATGAATGCAATACAATGAATACAAAAAAGAAAGAAAAGAAAACCTAAAAAACAAGCAGCCTCCCCTCTAAAAAAAGGATAATAAGACGAAAAGGAAATAGCCTATCCTTGCCAGAATATCAAGTTAAAGAAATAAAAAACAATGTCAATTAATCACAAACAAAGGAAAAGTTGGTTCTTTTAGCCAACAGTTGCAATGGTTGCCAAACACGTGTAAATTGCTCAGAAGAGCCATGCAGTGACATCCTCATTTTCTCAAGTTTAAGAAAATAAAGAATATCCCTGAGCCAGTGCTAAAAGGAGGGGGGATGAGGTACTTTTCATTTGCGTAGTATCACTCTCCAAGCAATAAAAGGTCATGAAAGCTAGAGAATTACCCTGAGAAGATGTTAAGGAGGACTCTCCAGAGAAGACCCCAAACAAGGCGCTCAGGGGATTGGGGTCAATTTTTCTTCCAACCACCTCAGATATAACAGCAAATATCTCCGTCCAAAAGGTACCAAGCTGAGGGCACTGCCAGAATATATGTATAAGATTTGCAAGGGACTGTTGACCTCTGTCGCAAGCAGGAGAGACCATGCTATAATTCTTAGCTAAATGGGCTTTAGTATAACACACACGGTGCGCCAGCTTGCATTGGATAAGACAGTGCCTTGCGCAAATAGAGGATTTATGTACCCATGTCTGAATACGTGACCAGAGATCGTCAAAAATATTCTCTCCAATATCTTGTTCCCAAAGGTTTCTAATTTAAAGAGTTCAGACGGAGTGAGGCAATTAAATTATAGAGTAGAAATAGATCCCTTTAGCCCAGGGGTGGATATAAACAGGGAGTCCATATCAGAGACCTTAAGCAAATGGGGAAAAGTGGGGAAGCTACTACGAGCAAAACTGCGAATTTGTAGATATCTAAAAAAGTGGTGTGATGGAAGAGTAAATCTGTCTGATAGTTGTGCAAAGGAGGCAAAAACATTATCAACATATGTCCTTGAAGGTCTGTATGCCAAGATCAGACCAAGTTGTGAAGGTTTTACCTACGAGAGAAGGAACAAATATATGATTTGCT